AGTCAGGCTGCTGAATCTCAATTCCTCAAATCGTGTGCATGTAAATGTGTAGGCCTGTGGGTGTGCAATTTTACTTAATACCTCATGATATCTCTGACTGTATTTCAATTAGTCCGAAATAGTCCACATACTGTCATGTTAATCCCTGATTCATATCATTTTGTAAGACAACTTGGACTGTACCTTAACTAGTGCCGAATATCGAACATATTCTTATCACGATTTAAAACAAAAAAAAATCCATTCCATAACTCTATCAATTTTTAATGTGTGCGTGTGATTGTATGTGGGTCTAGGGGAGTGCAATGTATTTATATATTTTTTATATTTTTATACTTCGCGACGCACTTGGGGGTTTAGGCTCCTGCAGAATTTCGTTGTAACAAGTGTGCAATGACAATAAAGTATTCATTCATTCATTCATTCAAAAAGGGTAGCTTATTCATTTGGCTACTGGTTATTTCATATCCAAAATTTGACCCCGTGGGTTCTCGAAGGGTTAAATATTCTTTTGTATTTTTCTTAGTCTAACCTCTTTTGTGATAAGATTGCAATGAAAACTGTTTGTGTCTTACCTTTATTTGTAGATGAAGTCCATGCGCCTGTCCTTCGCCACAAAAACCTCCGTTACTTTGTTGTAAAAGTCCTCCTTATTTTCCTTTAGTTTTAAAAGTCTCTCCGCCTCAATGGAGATGATCGCCAGGGAGGAAAGTCGTCCTGAATTGGTCCTATTCCGACTGTATGTTTTCAGTCTTTTCAACGCAGAGAACGACCTTTCCGCAGACGCTGTTGTAGCTGGTACAGTGAGCACCAGTTGGAGTAACTTTGTCGCCTCAGGAACAGTCTGGAGCAGATCATTCTGGGCCAAAAAGTTGAGAAGCTGTCCAGGAGATTTGCATTCATTCCTCACCATTTGTGAGCTGTACAGTCCAATGAGATCAGCCTTTAGTCTGACAAAGTCAAAAAACTTTGCATATATTGACAGGCTCTGCAGTTTGGTGTCATCAAAATGTTGTGACATCTCATTAAATTTTGTACAGTCGACCAAACCGAGGAAAGCTAGCTCACCAAAATGATCAAACCTAGCTTTCATCTGAACACTGATGTTGTCCATAATCTTGTAGAACATTTGTTTTCTCTCATCTCTGACTGACTGATTTCTTCCACTGTAATTAGGCCAAGTGTGCTGCATTTCTGCTCAAAT